AAAAATACAGTGGAATTTTAGAATCCCATTAATAGTTCTGCTAAATTAAAACGCACACGCACACACACACACACACGCAACAAACATGTGCATGCACGTACACACAAAGGTTTGTCTTTCTGTTATTACAGGGACTTTGCATTGTCTTCCATTCATTTTTAATTCATTTCTACAGCCTAACCCTGACCCTTATCCTAAACCTAACCATTACCAGTACATACTTGACCCTAAACTTGACCCTTAACCCACCAACAGCACTTCTTCTTATGGGGCCCGAAGCCCGGGCCCCATAAGGAGCAGTTGGTCATCACAATGATAAACAACAATAACAAAAAAACGTTAAACAGAACAAAAAGTTAAATTTGTCAATTTGTTTTATGTTTAATTACAAAAATCTACTTCAAACCGTGTTATTATCATGATGACTGAAGTTTAGTTTAAACATAAAAATAAGAACCAAGGCATTACAATGACCTAATCAAAGGTCAATTCTCAGCCTAAATGAAACAATGTGGGGGAACTTTGAGAAAGCTGCAAATAAAGGTTTTCAAGAGATGAACTGATCTGATACCAATATCGGTACCGATATTGGGAAAAAACTTCTGGATCGGTATCAGTGACAATGCGACCGATTCATGACTGGGCAGATCTATTCACTCTAACTCTATGCTTTGTGCTCTGAGTGACGTTACGCGCTAGCGTACTGACTGAACAAATTAAAGTTAACTGTTTTTGTATGTTTGACCGAGCTTGTGAAGCTCTTGGTGTGTTTAAGTGTGCTGTTATGGTGCACACACAGTTTTCAATAAATTTGTAATTCAGTACATTCATGGGTGCGTTTAACAAAATAAATGTTTTAAGTTAATTCAGCACTGGGGTTGTAAGCTCAAACATCCAGGTAGACGACAATTTATGATTGATTTAGCCATTTTTGTTAATTCAGCACTGTTTTTCTGTATCAGATCGGTATAGGATCGGTATCGGCCGACACCAAACTGCAGATATCGGCATCGGATTGGAAGTGAAAAAAGTGGATCGGTGCATCCCTAGTTACAATGTTGTTTTTCTTTTGGCTACTCCCTTCTGCAGGTGTCACCACAGCAAGCTAAATTGCATTAAAGATGTGGCAGTTTTATATCATTTTTTTAATGCAAATATGCCAGATCCCTTCCTGAAGTAACCTGGGCTTGAACCTGCAGCCTCAGCATTACAAGACCATGACGATGACCACCAAATTGCTGCAGCCCCAGTGAGCAACATTATTTAGTTTCTCCTATTTTTCTTCAGTATTTGTAGAATAACTATAGTGTGATGCATGATGATATGTTGTGGTTCTAAGGTTATTTAATTTTAAAATCTGGTAAGGAACCTTGCCATAACCCTCAAATTATTTAGACGAAAGAGCATATTCACTGGCTTTCATAGATCATGGCTGCGAGCATCACTGAAAACATTTATGTTATGGTGTTATGTTTTACTGATAATAATCATCAACAGTCATGTAAGGGCTTGAAAAAGATTCCACATAGCCATCCCTAACAGGTCAAACAGTTGACGGTGTGTCTTCTCTTTCTCCTGTGGAAATAAATGACTCCTTTGAAAACAGATGGGATTATTTTAACTGTACAAGCTTTGAAAATTAAGTTAATGCTTTCATTAATTTATTTTCCTTTAGATTCGGAAATGTATAAGTTTTATTACTACTGTTTTAGGTCTCCCCCAAAATGCTGAAAATGCCTGAAAAAAAAAAAAACATACCTAAAATAAATTAAATGCTGTTCTTGAACCCTTTGGAGAAAATGCAAAAGCTTGGCCTCTCTGTAAATGTAACATTGAATTATTGTCTAAATTATTATAACTGTAACTAGTATGTAGTTATTCATGTTGAAACTCACAAAAATCATAGTTTTTTTTCTCTCATCTTTATTTTTTTAATTATTAATGTAAAAGATAATGGATGGATGGATGGATGGATGGATGGATGGATGGATGGATGGATGGATGTTGCTGCACATGGAGGGATGGACTGGAAAATTATTTGAGGCAGCAGTATTAAGTCTTACCAGTTCAAATTTGGTTATAATAGCACCAAAAACTATTATTCTGGACACATTTTTATATGTGTTTGTCCATGCGTTTTTCTAGGTGTCCAAATGGAGTTCAACATGTTCACACAACTGGACACTAACATCATAAAGCTGTAAACGCTTCAACATACAGTCATCGGAGAGGGGTCTAATGAACGTTAAGAACCAGGTTTACTGTCAGAATGATTACCATACAGTAAATTATGAATAAACAGTAAGGAGGCACACAGCAAAACGCACATAAACACTCATGTCACCCCTACTCAAGCACCACATACAGCTGAAAACATGACAAAATAACGTCCTTACGTTTTCACAAAAGTATTCACATCTAAATAACATATGAACAAACAATAGCAGCTTGTGAAAGGTTTCCACTTACTTTTGACGTAGAATATGTTCTCCTATATGACCCAAATAATAATCCATCCTGTCTGAGGCTATCCCAGAGATGTGTCACTGCTCGCCTTTTTTATCCAAAAGGGGGCATGTGCGCTGCCTCAGGCAAAAAAATAATGTGAGAATTCATTTCCTACATCCATTTTAGTTTTTGCCCGCCAACACTGCATATCCATGTGACAGGAATTCGATTGGATATATGTCTGTAGCATCAGAACAGGCGTCAGTGGGCACCCGTGGGCAGGCTGCTGCAAGTTAGCACTAAAGCCCCCAGTATACTGCCGCGTACATCCACATGCAGAGGTACGCACGTACGTACGCAGAGGTACGTGCGTACCCCCCAGGGCATGTCCGTGCAAAGCTCAAATTTTTACGACCGCATACGGTACGCGGTGTCGCACAATAAACTGCCCAGCGACGGACTGTTTTGTATGCGACACCAATATATTAAATTCTCCTTCTTCATCTTTGATCTGGCCTTTTCTTTTGTTTTTTTGCCAAGAGGCAGTGATCTCTTCCTCCTCCGTTGATGCCATGACTGAAATGGTGAGAAATGAAGGAATTTGTCACGAGCGAATTAAACTCAGGTCCAGCGTGGCTGCGGGAGGGTCTGGAGATTTCCTGGTGGGCTGGTCTGATGTGTGGGCTGTAGAGCCAGCGCTCTCTGTTTTTTTTTTTTTTTAAGATCTTTTTATTACCAACATATAAACACAGAACACGGCTGCGGCGGAGTCTGCCAGCGCTCGCTTTTTTCCCTTTTTTCCGACCTGTCAATCAATCCAGTAGGCGTGTCAGCAAATGACCAATCGGCGACCTCAATTTGTCCCGAAGGTAAACGCCCCTTGTCTGTGAAGCTGCTCTGCAGCTGCTCAGGGTGTACGCTGGAGTATCATGTCTGAACCCTATGCGTACCGTACACGCGTACGTACGTGTGAACGGATGTACGCTGCAGTATACTGGAGCCTTTAGTCTGAACTCCTATACAGTAGATGGGATGAATGAGTTAACAGTTTTTGCAGATGAATCCACGATTCATGAGAAGCATGACCATGTTCCTTTTGAACTCCTCTTTATGCCAGTGTTTATTTTTTCACTCCAACTCTCGCTCACATCGAGTCATCAGGCACCCACTGTGCTTTAGCTTTTCTTGCCTTAGATGGCCACATCTCAAGGGGAAATGAAGGAATGTGATCGAGACACAACCCTTGAATGTTCAGCAGTAAAGCTCTCAAGTCCTTTCAAACAGGACATTTTCCGCAAAGACAGTGAGAAGCATTCCAAGAAAGTGACTGTTAAGATAAATAAATAAGCTCCTTTCTTAATGTTTATATTGAGTTAATGGTTTATTGCTCCAGTAACAGGGAGTTACTATGACTTCAGTAAATGACATACTTAACTTACTTAAAACAAAGCAAAAAGCCACACAAAACAGTTTGTGAATTTTTAGAACAAAGCAATCTAAAAACATGGAAACATTATGGTATTGCATACTTAAAAAATACTAATAAACAATAACATTTTTTTTTAAATCCTTGACATGCTTTCTGTGTGTATTTCCTTAACGGTTGAGCACAGTCCAAATTATTTTTTAGCAATTTATGTATTTATTTATTTAGTTGCAAATCAAATAGTACTTTGTACATGATTAGATTATGATTTGTGGTTTTCAATTCTAACTAAGAGGTAACTATTTAATTAGCCCTTTTGTACTGTTCATAGAGGCACCAGAACTTTGGTGATGGAACCTTTATAAATGATCATTTTAGGATGATGATGATGAACTCAGAAAAACTTTGTACTGGTTAGGCTGACTGGTAACTCTAAATTGTCCCTAGGTGTGAGTGAGAGAGTGAATGGTTGTTTGTCTCGGTTGTCTTGATGTGTCCCTGTGATGGACTGGAGACCTGTCCAGGTGTCTCCCGCCTCTCGCACAGTGATGACTGGACATGTGCACCAGTGACCCCCGCGACCCGAAAAGGAAGAAGTAGGTAAAGATAATGGATGAATGGATTGCACTTTTATTAAGGAAATAAGACTCAACCAATACCAGCATTATATCCCCCACAGCATAACAGCTTCTCAGTGCCCTCACTGCAGGATCGAGGTTTTCAGGATCTCATTCTGCTGAAATTTCTGTTGACTTTCTGTCAAACACCAATAATTTCATATTCCATTTGTATTTAATGAAATGCTTTGGAAGACTGAGGATGGTCCTATTTGTTATAAATCTATATTGTCAAATCTAAATAATAATAAACCTATTCAGCCCCACATTAAAGGAAAATATACCAGGTTATAAAAAACATAGAAACATATTTTATGAACCATAGCTGCATGGTTCATCAGGGAAATCTCCTGGTCACTACTAAAATAAACCTTTGTCTCAAAACTTGTAATATCTGACAACCCTTCTTTGACTGTGGTTTTCAGTTTTGTAAAAAAAAGTGATCAAATAAAATGTGGTTTGAACTACTAACGTGTGATAATAATGTCACCAGATCTGGTTATTGGTACCTTTAGGGCTTCAATGACGACGTCCCGTGCCTCCAGCTCTCCCTCCAGTGTGCTGAAAAGCATCAGCAGCTCTGGCTTGGTCAGAGTTTCCATGTTCAGTTTGGACTGTGACAAGAGACAGTACAAGTTTTTTTTTTTTATTAAAAAAAATATATCATATTTTAAAATTCTACTAGCTTAATGAAAAACTCCAAAACAGGAAATAAAGAGAAGCCATGGAAATTGCTTTACGCTTTTACTCTGTACAGTAGTCCCTCACTACTTCGCGGTTCGTTTATCACGGACTCGCTCTATCGCGATTTTTCAAAATAAGATTGGACATGACACGCAATTGGCTGATTGATGGATGAGCCGCACGATCGGCTTCAGGATACGGATCCACAACTATAAACGAGGGACTACTGCACTGCAATTTATCCAGGAATGTCTTCCTAACGTAAAGCCCTGTGTTTTCCAATTCCTCCCAAATTAGAAATGTAGTCAAACTGATCTTGCTCGCTTATGGATACTATGGTTGTGTATATGCAATTATTAATAATGGAAGGAATAATTTTGCGGGGCAGCACGGTGGCGCAACTGGTAGAGCTGCTGCCTCTCAGCGAGCAGGTCCCTGGTTCAAACCCCGGTCCAGGGGCCTTTCTGGGTGGAGTTTGCATGTTCTCTCTGTGCATGCGTGGGTTTTCTCCGGGTGCTCCGGTTTCCTCCCACAGACCAAAAACATGCATGTTAGGCTGATTGGTAACTCTAAATTGTCCCTAGGTGTGAGTGAGAGAGTGAATGGTTGTTTGTCTCGTTTGTCTCTATGTGTCCCTGTGATGGACTGGAGACCCGTCCAGGGTGTACCCCGCCCCTCGCACAGTGATTGCTGGACATGGGCACCAGCGACCCCCGTGACCCAAAATGGAATAAACGGGTAAAGATAATGGATGGATGGATGGATGGATGGGAATAATAATAATAATAATAATAATAATAATGTCATCACAATGTCAGCACTGTATGTTTCCATACAATGGCGAAATTAGTCTCTGCATTTAACCCATCCACCACCAGGTGGTGCAGTGGGCAGCTATTGAAGGCGCCGGGGGGCATTTTGGGGATGATGCGTGCTGCCCAGAGACGCCACGTGATGTGCAGTGACTGGGGATTGAACCTGGGGCTTTCGGGTCCCAAGCTGGCTGCCCTGCCTCTACACCATCTCGGCCCCCAATAATAATTTTGCAAAGCAAAATTTTTGAGTTCTTTCTTTCCAAAAGTTATTTTGGGTTTAGTTCAGAAGAATGCTGAACTACATGTCTGCCAAATCATTATAAAAACTGTCATGTTGCACAACTGAAACTTTCTTTTTTATTTAAGTTGTTCAGAATCATGTTAACAATTTCTGCTAACTGGGTGCAGACAAATTGGATCCAAACTTTTCCATTTGTGTTAAAAGATTTAAAGTTGTCTGACGGGTAATGTGCATGCAGCATAACTAGAATATCGTTTTGTTTTGCTGAAAGTTCAAATCCTAATGGGCGCAGTGACAGTTATTTTGTGTTGGAAATGAGATGTAGTTCCTTTGTAGTGTCTCTGAGCTTTAATCTCACAGCTGTGTTGGTTCTGCTGACAAGCCCCGTGGTGTCCACATCTCAGATATCCAACCGCACTCTGCACAAGTGAAAATATGCAGGCTTCACTTTGAAATAAGATCAAAGCTGTTGATGCTACTACACTAAACACAGTTTTCTCATGACAATCATAGAGATGGATCGATGACTGACTACTTAATAACACACTTACACCCTGGCTTGAATCACAGAAACACTATTTATGTGGCCGAAGCAGCTTTTTAGGACTGTTATTCACAACTGAATTAGTGTTCACTCTGCAGACTTATGCTCTGCTTTGTTCACGTTATGGTCGCCACCAATTTCCACAGCATGAAGTCATAAGGAATCATCTGTTTCAGCAGAGGCTGCGCAACAAGAGACAGGAATCCTTCATCAGTCATACCTGGGCAGGAAGCTTTTCCATATGTCTTCCATTAGCAGCCCAAAAAGAAGTCAAACAGCGCTGCAGCAAACTATGTGCATTTATTTGACACTCCTGCAGAACAATAAGCAGAAGTAAAAAGAGGAATGAACCATGACTGCACTGCAGTTGCATCGTCTCACAAACGAGGCCCCACAGTGTTTTTAGTTCTGCCTCTAAGCACCACTCACGGTCTGTGGCTTAAACCACAGGCGTAAAATGGTAATTAAACTACAGCATATATGCCTCCTTTGGCTTGGGTTTACAGGACTGCCTGCTAATTTCACAGCCCACCATAATCACTGTGAGAAGTGTGTGAGCTGCCGAAGCTAACATGCGTCACCGTGCTCGTTAAGTTCCACATCATTGTTTTAATTATATTTTCGCCTAATCCACAGAGTTAGACTTGGTAATCATGTGGGTACACAAACACAGCATGATGGCGTGGATTTTCAAATATTCCCACACAAACTCTCAGCGCCACTTCCGATGACAAAAACCCTGTGTCAGTAATCCCATAATCCATGTTTGTTTTCAGCCTGGTCAGCCATGTGACTCATCTGCAAGGATGTATTAAAACACACAGCACATTTTATTACAAAAATATTTCTTTTTTCAGAAGAGTAAAACAAGGTTGTGTAGAGCTGCTTTTGACTTATGTTGTGTGTAAGGGTATAAAACCTCTTTCACCTTAATCTTCTCAATCTAATCTGTAGCTATTTTCCTTTTTAAGATTTCTAAGCTCTTATGCACATGTTATTACAACAAGAGGCATATTGCCATAATCTGAGTATTTCAGAGTGCAATACCCATGATTTAGGCTTTAGTTGTGCATGCAAAATTGAAATCAAAGCAGTCTTTTTAATAGTGTAACTGTGTTTTTAATTTAACTATAAGAATACAGTGCAAAACAAGTATTCTATTATGAGAAAAAAGCATGCTTTTGCATGTCTGCCATGATGAGAAGGGGGTCAGCTGAGGGGAAGCTGAGCCTGGGAGCTCTGCTGAATTTCCTCCTTGTCTAACCAGATCCAGCATGTCTGGAGACTAACCTGGATTTATTTAACCAAGCCAGCTTCTGTTCTGTGCAGCAGCAGGTCACTTGCTTCCAAACAGTATCTTCACTGGGCTGCAGCACATAAGAGTCGTAAAATCAACATCGTGTGAACAAAAAGTAGCTAAAAGTGATGCGTTCTTGAGTTAATTAAGGGTTAGTTAACAACGTGAGCCACCGACTGCGTGTGAAAAATCATTTTGAGTTGCCACGAACACCAAACGCTGACTGACCGATGGATATCATGAGCTAATGTCTTACGAGACCAAAAAAAAATCGAGCAAACAAGCCATTTGCAGTCATTTGACCGAGCGAATTTGGCTAGTAGCTTTGAACATCCTTTTTTCTCCTTTTCTTCTTTAACCAAACAACGTGAAAATACGTCAAAACTTATCCACAAAAGTTTCACAAAGTCAAAGACATCAACAAATCATTTTGTCTTCTTACCTTCATGTGGCTTTCTAAAGCTGTTTCAGAACTCCAGCATGAACTTTTCTTCTGTCAAAAGATTTATTTCACTCGATTTGCCGTCCTCCGATTCCCGACGCAGCGGAACGCTAGAAGGCCAGCAATTTAAGGAGTGACGCCAAGTTTGACCAATTGGAAAGTAGCGGCTACGAGCGCCGACCAATCAAACACAAGTTTGGGAGAAAAAATGGGCGGAGAGAATGACGTCACGTCTGTTGAGTTTTAGTTTAGTTTCTTTGTCCAGTACTACTTGGATTGCTGCTCCTGAGTTACTGTGGCAGGCTGTACATTTTTGCGTTTTTCTAAAATAGCCCAGTAGTTGTTTATCTCAAGACTGAGTTCAGCTACATTATTATATACACTGTAAACAATTTTACATACGTATGTATATATTCATATTTTGGATTGCATTTTATTGTAATCCAGGCAGTATGAGGATGTAAATTGGTAGTATACTGCAATGAATTGTGGGAAACCCTACTACAATTTAAATTCTTATATTTTCTAGTAACAAACACACAAAACCCTGCTTGATGACTGAGATTCATACATTTTGTCCAAGAGGTGGTAAAAAGACAAAATAGAAAATAATCGACGCAACGTGAAATAAAATAAAAAGGTCAGTATATTTTATTATTATTAATATAATAATAATAATTATTATTATTATTATTGTTATAGCATCTTGAATAAAGCCCAAAACTTTGATTATTTGATATTATTGTAATGTATTTATTTTGTGTGTATATGTGTGATGGAAAGCAACAGTGCACACATGGACAATTACAATGAAACGGCTCTTTGATGTCTGCAAACTCAGTTGTGTTAAAGCAATCCCGGCTGAGTAAAACAAAAATACACCCACTTTATCTTCATCTCGTCCAATTTCCATCTTCTGCCCATGAGGGTTTTATGTAATTAGGGGAGTTGAAAACCTTTTCGCCAAATCTTTGATATGAAATATTCTCATTTGACTAATCATCTCAGCAAAAGCATTTATATTTATTTTTCTCATCAAGAGTTATGAGATTACAAACTGATTGCCATCGAGTGGTATAAATCTGCTAAAAATGATGTAAATCTGAGACCCAGGGCTTTTGAGGTGACTAATAAAGAGTTTAAGTCTACAGGAGTGATAAAGCTGTGTTGCTCTTTTTGTTATTCTCTTCAACTTCTCTAGGAGAAAAATGACAGCGAATGCTGTGTGCTGCAGACCTGAAATTATAATTTAGTGTCAACTGCAATCCACAGATTCTTCTGTAATGTATAACAGCTGCCAGTAGAGTGCAATGCTCACACAACTCAAGCCAACTGTGGACCACTAGTGGTTTTATCAGGCCACATTCAGAAAATACAGGATTTTGAGCATAGCTGTGGGAGAGTGGCGTGGACAATCACTGGGTTCATGCAGTGTGACAGACTTAAACATCTGCTCAGTTTTTTTATCTGAAATGTAAGATGTATAGTTTTCTAAGAGCACGACATAAAATCACTTTAGCATTGCAATTTCGCTAGAGATTTTAGGCATGCAACCCCCTCCTCATATATTTTACTATGCAGCATTTTTATGCTTTTTGATGACTGTGTCCCTTTTATCTCACTCTCCCATGTTGAGGGCATACAGAGAGCAAAGTCAGAGAATTGTGACTCCTGATAGGCTGCTGGTGCCAGCACTAATAAAGAGTCTCTATTTCAGGCTCCTCAATTAAGCTCCTCTGCGCAGCCTATACCGACTGGCTGCTGTGGAGAATCAGTGTCCTCACAGTCACTGTGTCCTTGTCTTTCACAAACAAATCACACCACAAGGTTTTACCATTTAGCATTGTTTAATTTGAAATAGATGCTGAATCTAATTTTTTTTTTCATGTAGTAGAAATTATTATTTTCATTTTAAAAGGGCACAAAAAGACTAGAAATATCAAAACATTTTTTCAAAAATTATTTAAAAAGTATGTAAATGAATGAACAAAATGATCATCATCTTCCCTTTTAAAGGTGTTTCAAAATTAAACTTTTTTTTTCATCCAGAAAAAAAAAAAATGTCATAAGCACTTCATTTACCTGTTGATACATATTATGGAATTTCACTAAATGTATTGTTCAGCCCTTAATTTTCAATAAGGGCGGCACAGTGGCACAGTTGGTAGAGCTGTTCCCGCTCAGAGAGAAGGTCGCCGGTTCAAATCCCGGCCAGGGACCTTTCTGGGTGGAGTTTGCATGTTCTCTCCGTGCATATGTGGGTTTTCTCCAGGTACTCCAGTTTCCTCCCACAGACCAAAATCATGCATGTTAGGCTGATTGGTAACTCAAAATTGTCCCTAGGTGTGAGAGTGTGAATGGTTGTTCGTCTCTAAGTGTCCATGTGATGGACTGGGCACCATTGACCCCCCACAACCCTAAAAGGAAGAAGCAGATAAAGATAATGGGTGTATTTTTTCCATAAATAAGTTATATTGCGAGCTGCACGGTGGTGTGGTGGTTAGCAATGTTGCCTCATGACAAGAAAGCTAATTCTTAATCTGCCTTACTTTTTCATCATATAGCTATCCTGCCGAGTTACACTTAAGTCAGCCTCTCACTGGGTTACAACTGTTGGAGACTTGTTGGTGATGCAAAATTGTGAGGAAAACTGCAAGAACAAGGCAAATTTTCAGATGCAGTCTCACTGAGTTCTGAGTATTTTATATCAAAGACATTAGTGAGCCATGTGGTTGTGTTTTATGCAACAAATAACACAATTCTGTATTTTTTTTTACTGTACACATTATTTCTTTGTCTATCTTGGCCTGCTACCTTGGCAGCTGCCCTGTTTAGGATTTAATCTGGAACCAATTTGGACCAGTAATTTAAAAAAATAATTATCATGTGTCTCTGACATGATTAGACCAGAGGCCAGGCTGTAGCCTCAGATGTTATCTGTCAAAATAAGAGTGCTTGTCCAAGTGTCTAAACACAGCTCCAGCACTCCAGAATTACAGAAACTAAAGTAAGAAGCTCTCAAGAGGGGTATGAGATGCTTGAGACGACTCTGTGACTATTATGATAAAAAACATCATCATGCCTCTGGGAAAGTTTCAAGAGTCTTCCTTGAGATTGCCATTCACCAACTATCTAACATATTCTGTCCCGTGAGATACTGACTTCCACAGGTTCTACATAACAGCTTGTGTTTTAATTACCACATCATTATTGGTACCAAACCACAGAACAATACAGTGACCAGGGTAAATAAAGGCGTTTTGGAAATCATCTAATGCAAAAGTGTTGATGTTATAATGACTGGAGTTGTTCCAAGGCAGAAACCTGCTTTTGTTTTGGCCCCACGCTGTCAGCGTCTCACTGAAAAAAATTCTGCCTGAAATATTAATATGAGCAACATCTCCTACAGGTGTGGTACTGACAACTATGCATCCAAAAACATGCATGTTACATTAATTGGCAATTAAGCATTTTCCTTAGGTGTGGGCGTGTATGGTTGTTCATCTTTATGTGGCCCTGTGATGGACTACTGACCTGCCCAGGGTGAACCCCACCCAAAGACCACTGGAAATGGACAACTGCTCCCTTGCACAGGTTAGAAGTAAGATTTTGAATTCAATTCTGGATTTGACAGGGAGCCAGTGGAGAGAAGCTAAAACGAGAGATATGCTCTCTCCTACTAACTCCAGTTAAGACTCTGGCAGCGGCATTTTGGATTAAAGACTTTAAATAAGTTTTTGGACATTCAGATAATAAATCATTGCAATAGTCCAGTCTAGATGTGACAAATGCATGAACCAGTTTTTCTGCATCATTTTTAGATAAGATGTTTCTAATTTTATTGATATTACGCAGGTGGAAGAAGGCAGTTCTAGTAACGTTTTTAATGTGGGGGATAAAAGACATGTCCTGATCAAAAACAACACCAAGATTTTTAACATTAGAGCTGCAGGCCAGATTAATGCCATCCAAGGAGGGTGAAACACTGAAAAATATGTTCCTAAGATGCTCAGGTCCAAAAACTAAAACCTCAGTCTTGTCCGTGTTCAAAAGCAGAAAATATATAGGGTCATCCAGGTTTTTATGTCTTTAAAACATGCTTGTAGTCTAAGTAGCTGATTGGATTCATTGGGTTTCATGGGCAAATATAATTGTGTATCATCAGCATAACAATGAAAACTTATCCCATGCTGTTTAATAATATTACCTAATGGAAGCATATACAAGGTAAAGAGTATTGGTCCAAGCACTGAACCTCGAGGAACTCCATGACTAACTTTGGTGTAATGTGAAAACTTATTATTTAAATATACAAACTGGAATCTATCAGATAGATATGATTAAACCAATTATTATCATTAACATGTATTGAAAATGGATGACTAAATAACAACTCCAAAGATTTTCTGTAAAATAAATCCAAATTATCCTTTCACATAAATATAAATAACACACTGGATAATACATTTAACATCTATCCGCTGACACAAGGTTTAATAAATGATTGGTGAATTGGACACAGATTCACCGCTTTACGATAACCAATCTAAAGATATGCAAATTATTAACAAGGATTCCTTCAAGGTCAAACTCTCAGGCATTTTTCCATATTATATTAATCACACTGGCAAAACCAATCAATTTCCAAACTGTAATCTCTTCATGCAATCAGGTTAGGCGAGCAAAGTGGACGTGTGTAACACTGACTGACTGACTCACTTGTGGCTTTTGAGAGGCTACATCCTCCCACGTGTCTGAATACATCTTCTGTACGGGGAATCAGATGCAAAAAACCTGACAGATATGGAGCAATAGATGAAAAACTAAAAACCCCACAGAACTGGATGCCAGGCAACAGATGCTGATAACTGCCTCAGATTAGGTCCTAGACTGTCGCGGGCTCCTGCCAAGACTCTGGTGCTACATTTACAGCCTCGTCTTTTCATCTCGTCTCTGATCGTGTCTGTGCCACTGTGCTGTGTCACAGCTACAGTCAGCCTGGCTTCTGTGACAGAGTGCCAGGTGTGAAATGGAGATTAAATATTCCTTTGGAATATCACTTAAACTGAGAATAATGCTGCTG